TTTTTTTCCACGTTCTCGTCTATATTATATACTCGGTGCGATAGACTATATTATAGAAGGAATCGTTGTTGTTGTTGCTGTTGATGTTGATTTTTAATAGAAATTTAGACGTTAAAATCCTGCTGACGGGTTAAATGCAGGAGAAGAAGAAATCTCGTCCTACGAAAAATCACACACTTGATGTATTATTTTATAATAATATTACATTATTTCATATATTATTATTTTGCATAGCGAAATACGGTCGGGTCGGTTTTCGTCGTCGTCGTCGTGTCATCGTTTCGTCCGCTCGTTCACGAAACAGTTACGCGTCTCAGACAAATCGTAACGATTTCGTTCGCATATAATTTGACGTGCGACGACTGCAGACGGACATTTTCATCGGCGGCAGCGGTTCTCTTTGTGCCCGCGCATACGATTATAATAATTAGTTTCACGAAAAATAAATAAAAAATAAACAGAGAGAGAGAGAGATATGAAACGAAATTGTTATTTTTTTTCTAAAACAAATATACGAATGCGGTCGGTTATTATATTATTAATATTGCTGCACACAAAACGTGTACACAAATACACACAATATCTACATGTATAATACGTCATAGTAGTATATACAACAGCGAGCACGCGCGCGCACGGATTTAAATGCGTTGTTTTTTAAATAATATTATAAATAAATAGACACAAACACACACACACACACAGAGTATTTTCGCGTTTGTGATTCACGTCAGACTTTCACCCGAAGTCGACTACTAATGGATTTCTGACATCGGGTAATAATTATTATTTCCACGATTCGTCTTAATGGCAAACCGCAGATTTCGAGGGCCGGCGACGACGACGTCGGCGATGGTGGTGACGGTTAGTGGAGGTGAATCCGATGGAAAAAAAACTCATTTCGCATGACCCGTCGACGTTTATGACACGAAATTTTGACAGCATCCTATACGGACGGCCTTACGATTTTTTTCCCCCGTTATTGTACATCATAATCGTATTAAATGTTGTTATTATATATATATATATACATGCAATAGGTTCCTATTGCCTGTAGGTACCTAAAATGTCCCCCCGCAGCTTTCGAACGATTACGTTTTCGTACAATATAATAGAATACCTATATAGATATGTGTGTTTAATTTTAATTGTTTTACATTGGTATGCCACGAAAAAAAAAAAGTTTTCTCGAGTTATTTTAATCGTTAAATAATAAGTTTGTCTGTTTGTGAATTAGTAGTTATAAACTGACGTTTGTTAATTTGTTTCGGTTTGACTGATTTGTCTTTTTTATTAATCAACATAATATACTATCTATAGAATTCGCATGTATAGGTATTGTTTTATGTCATTGAAAATTATGATTGTTTTATCTTTAAGGTATGATACGTGCATGATAATCGTATTACTAATATAATTATATTTAGAGCCTTAGAGGTACAAATATGTATATAGTTATAAAATTTAAGTAACAACTAGTTGACATATTATTTAGGTATGTTATATATAATACATCTTAATCTATGTGTACTAAGACGCTATATGCAGACAAATTTTGTTAATACATTTTATTTTATGTACCTACTATAATAATCAAAGATGTAAGAACTGCAATTTTGGTATTCAATGAAAGATTTTTAAATTATTATTAGTTTCTATATAATTGAAAGACAGGAATAGAAAATATTTGGTAAAATTATTTTAAGTTTTAAATTTAAAAACCATTTAAAAGTAAAACGAACGCGTTCCAAAAATGTAATTCCAAATACTCCTCAAATAGTCATATCACCTGAATAAATTAAATTAGTAAGAAAACCAATTTACACATTCGAAATCAATATTAATGTATGACAAATTAAAAAAAAAAAAAAATGTTTTCTTTATATTAAAACTACAATTAAAACGAACACTAAAACTGGACTTAGATTATTATTGTTATTTATTAGGTATCGATATTTTATGCACAATACCACAATAGAATTATAATGCTAAAAAATCAAAAATAAATAACTTTATAGTATTTGTATACTTTTATGATGAATGCTATTAACTATTAACTATTTTACTGTCACGAACAAAACAAGAAATTTCAATTTCTGTTGAATTATGTAAATAGTTAACAGGATCATTTATAAATTCAACCTTACAGTGTCACAATATTACAGTGTTAAGGATTATCTATTATAAAGTAATTTACGATGTTTTAAATGAAGAACAATTTATTAACCAATGTATTGATTTTAAGACGTATATCTGCTTAATGCCTATGAGAAAATAAATAATCAAATTAATATTTCTAACATAACCCATAATCATAACATTATACATTTTATGAATTTAACGGACAATTTCAAAATATAAATTTTCTGATAATTTAATAAGTCAATATTATCATTTATCTCTCAAACATATTTGAATACTTGAATATTATACATCAGCACATAGCATAGAAACTGTATTACGGATGACAACCGTTTTCACGAATTTTGGAAATTGTACGTGCAAATCCATAGACAGTTTGTGCACACATTTTTAAAACTGGCACGGTTGCACCACACGTTAAAAAAATTGATAAATTATATTATATAATATAAATATAATGGTTTTTTTATTCAAAATCAATAGTTTTCAAATACTTATATTGCGAAATATTGTTGATTTTATACCTATCTTAATATGTTTTTTATAAATTAAAATTGTATAAAATAATATATTTGATTTCATCATAATTATTACATATTATATAAACGTAAAGTGTGTATACATTTTTACCAAAATTATTTTTTATGTAAACTGTTCGTTTGATTTTTCGATATTTGTGCTCAAACATCCCATCAAATTTCCGGTGAAACATCCAAATTGCGTGAAATTGGTTTACTGCAACTCTCCGTTGCAGACGATATGTGGTCTGTTCGATCAAAAACTTAAAACAATGTATCGCTGTAAACGACTGCAGTTCGGAATTATATTTAAACACGTTTCTCTAGGAATAACAATAATTAATAATAAACGACTATGTCGAGAATGATAATAATATGATAATATTAATATACTAACCCTAGGATCGAATTTAATGTGATATAATGGACTCGTGGACAATACTACGAGTACTTGTAATACCATGTACAATTATTAAAACAAATCTGTCAAACGATCATTTATTAATATTACACCCAATCAAATACGTAAGTAAACCATAATATATTTTTGACTCGAAATATGAAAACTCGCGATTGCCGGCGCCGAGTTCAGTTTTGCAGCAGTTATGCTATGAATAAATTATTCGTGGCACATGTGCAGGTCGAGAGAGAGAAAAAAAAAGAATACCTAATAAATAAACGAGAAACGTTTATCAAACAACGATCGATTACACATTCGCAATACAAGTGTTTTTGTCTGCCTACCGTATATTCCACTTGTCCGACTTTTAAGTATTACATCTTCGCGACATTTTTTTTTTCTTCCACTTTTCACTGTTCCCCGGGTTCTTTGAAACCCGTCATTTTCTCTTTATATACAGTTGTTATTTCATTCATTCTGTCAGTCTCTATTGAATTATATTATAAAAGAAACGCTGTTTATCTTCTTCCTCAGCGGTGCAAACCCGATTGGCCTTAAGCCGAAGACGTTTAAGCCTACCGATTACCAATACCGTGTGTAAATTCGCCTTTTCTGGATTGTTTTTATTTCCCATTCTTCTTTATATTTATCGCCAACAATTAAATCCGTCGATGAAAATCAATGATAGTAAACCTCACGAATTACAATACGATGCGATATTTCAAAATATTATAATATGATTATAATATTCTGTGAAAATAATAATAAATAGTGTCTGCTCAATCTTTTGAGATATTATATATTATAGTTTATGTTACTATATGTGGGCCATAATTACTCATAAAACTCAGCCCAAATAATGTAGTTGTCTAATTTTTTTGTTCAAAAGATACATTTTCTTATAACAATTCAGATTGCTCATACCGCTGTAAATCTTTGTTTATAACAACTAAATCTTTAACATTACCCCATATAGTGCGACCAATGTGGCGATGTCCAATAATCGCAAACCAAGATCATCATCGCTCATATTTATTAATAATTTATATAATATGCAGATAGGTTAACAAAAAAACTTCTGATAAGATACAATTTCAGTACACATATCTTACTGAACACCAAATGAAATCGAATTCAGATAAAAATAATATCCTTTTTTTTATACGGTTATCATAAATGTAGGCCGAAAAGTAAATTTAATGAATTTTTCCTCGGTGGTTTATAAATTGTGCAGTGATATCTGATGATTACACAGCACCATGTTACTCGCGATCGCCCAGGATCGTTTCGATCGCGTATTCGTGTCTTAAAAAGACAAACAGTGAACAATAATATATAGATAATAAATACGAAAAAAATCTACGACGCCTTAAAATAACGAAAAATAAGATTGAGTGTATAATAATAATTATGGATTGGATTTAAATTTTCTAAAAATCATCGAAAAATGCTCTAAAATAACCAAAAATGCATTTTACCGCAATTATTGTTGTAATCCCCTTAAAAATTGATTTAATATTTAATTATTTTTTTAATTCGACGTTTAATATGTACCTACCTAATTTTTAACTTTCAATTAACTTGAAATAGTTGACTAAACATTTATAGAAAAAAAAATGTACAAAATGTCATGAAAATGTATTTAATTTGATTGATTTATGCGGCGTCGATGACGTTAACTATGCAGACACGCATGTCTTTTAGGGCTCTATAATAATTATGCGATCTAATTCTAAACATACCGAAATATAAACAAAAATGCATTAAGACTAACAAAACGACCAAAAAAATGCAAATTAAAAGTTTCATCGTTCAAGTATATTCTGTTTCACGAAACAAGTTATGTACCCGCCTGTACTTGGAAAGCACTGACCAAGATCGGTCGAAAAAACATGCGCTCTGCATTGAAATAGCCAATAATTACGTATACAGGTACTTACGACATCCGAGGTCGATGAAGTGGTGAGACGAGGGTCGGCGGGCCACCAGTTTGGTAGAGACGATGGCCCATGGGCGCCCTGGCCGGGTCCAGTGTTCATGTCCGGCGTTCGTCATCGGTCGTCATCGTTGGACGAGCGACGTTCGAATGGTCGTGTGCTGACGGTCGTCCGTCGTCACCTGCAACCGATTGCCGGCGGATCGCGAGACCGGACCATCGCACGTCGCGAAACAGAATAATAATAGAATGATAATATTTTTAAAAAAAAAAAAACGTTCGACTAGGCGAGACAATATGCTGATCGGAAAAACGAAACGGCGGCTGTCGATGCGTAATTATTATATTTTAAAATATAATAATATTGTTATTATAATATTATTTCTCGAGCTCGCGGTGGCGGCGCCTCTCAAAAACGAATAAATGTCTAAATTATTATTGCGGCGCGTGCTATTGTCGACAACTACAGCTGTATGTATATTATAATCACATCGGGTAAAAAAAAATTTCAGAATTTAAAAATCGACGATCCTTCGCGGGTCCGGCGCTATCGTATACCACGTCGGCGATGATAGTATCGCGTTTGTACGTTGTGGCCGCGACGGGATCGCCGGTAATAATGGGACTGAGCGCGCCGGGCACGTGTGATCGTCCGAGACGGAACCAGAACCGAACCAGACCGGTTTCGTCTCCTACCTCGCCCGCTCGTGTCGTCTTCGCGCGCAGTCGTCTTCTCCTTCGTCTTCTCCTCAGCGGTCCTCCCCGTATCCTCTTCGTCTGCCGCGACGTCTTCGCCCCGTGGTCATCGTTCTTCCGCCTCGCTCCTTCCGCAGTGCCACCTCCATAGAAGCTGCCCACCCAGATCTTCCTCCTTCCACCGGGCAGCTGTACTTCCTAAACCGCACCGATACACCGAGTCCGTTCCACCTCAACTTCCTCCTCCTCCTCCCCCATCACTTCCTGTGTGTGTTGTGACCACTACGAACGGGCCTGTACGAGTATAATTTATTATCTATACTACTGACTTTATAGTTTATAATATTATAATTGTTACAAAATATGTCAAGTACCTTAGAGGTACATCATCTAAATGTATATAGATACAGTTGATTTTCTCAGCAGTTCCAAGTTCGAGGGCAACGAATAGACTTCGAATTACATACCTATTATCCAACGAATTGTTTTTTTTATTATTCGAAATATCGAACATACATGTTAAACACAAGATATTATTAAATATTTATTTTTATTTTTAATTACATTTAAAATACTTGAATTTTCAAAAATCGACTATAAAATATAGTAATACGCCTATCGTTGACCCACGTGTAACATTGTAACACAGAAGTCACCAAATGGCGTCCCGTGGACCAAGCTTTATCTGGTCCGAAAACAGGAAATTATTTTTTAAAACCATTTTTATGGCAATTAATTTAGTTTTTGATTTTCCTTCTCCTTTCTTGGGATGTACATTTCATTATTCTGGGCCTGAAAACTTCCTCAATTTTTTAAAGTGGAACTCCAAAAATATTAATTGGTGATCACTGTTGTAACATTATGTTCATTACACCTAATTACGTGATGCATTTTCCGGCTTCTCCAACAAACTTATAAATACACACACAAGCCGCCGCGACAACTATTTTATATTATAATATATAGGTCGTACGCAAATGGTTACGACTTATGACAAATAACAATGGCGTATAAAGTTTTTTTTGGTTTACCACGTCTTGCAGCTGCATCCGAGAATAACCACTAGATGGCCACTTAAATAAGTACATAATATTATGTAGACAATATATACGGTACCAGACGTCGACCGCAAAACGGTAATTGAAAATTCGTAAACGGTACTTAAATGTACTTAATATGTGTTTTATGTTATGAAAAGTGTAACATACTTACCTAGTAATAAAACTAATAAAATTAATAGAAATAGTTTCAGCTACTATAAATATATAATATAGGTATAAAACGATCGTGTGGTTATTATTAATAGTTTTAACTCAATTTTAACTGAAAAAAGTTTATTGATTTTTTTTTAAAACTTTGATTTTGACTTAAGATCAAATAATCTGTAATTTAATTTTTACAATAAGCTGAAGTATTTTTAAGACATAAGACGCTTAAAAATAGTAGTCACCCGATGGCGACACTTTACATGAGGATTTGTTTAATTTTGATTAGGATTTAGCTATATGGTCAACTATAATGTCCGAATGAATAGTCAATTTATGTATCCCCTAAGGCATTTTAAACTATGTCTTATATGACACGTACATTTACTATGCATACGGACATTAATCACAAAAATGGTAGGTACATAATAATGAAATAATTAATAAACTATACCAATTTTGGTTACATACTTACATATATTATCATATTACATACTATTATGAACACCGTCTTTTAACATGATAATTTATATTATTGTATAAATATGTATTAGCTGCTCAATAGTTAAACTGCCGTGATAAAAATCTTAAGCTATAACTTAAGTTTATAAATTGGAAGTAGTGTCGATGGCCACGTCCAATACACAAAAATGAATGTCAATACTTATTTACTTATTGTATTATTAATTTATACAGACTGTAAATAATAAATAATATACTTTATAAATAAAAAAAAAACAAACTATAACTTTCTAACTTCTGTTGTATATTATATCAATAATTTAATACGAATGATAGGGTATCAAACAAAATATATTAGTACCTTTAAAACCATTAACCAACTCTAATTTATTATGGATGTACCTACCTATACCCGTATGGAATTTATTGCAATATCGCATACGTATGTATATAATATAACGTACGCCAGGTGAAGAACTTTTCCAATACATACTTTAATTTCGTATCAAAAATAATATATAATATATAAAAATATAATGTTTTAAGCCGCGCTTATGAATAATGCGTAATAATTTCAAAATGTTATTAATTTTAATCGCATATAGGTAGGTAGTAGGTATATAGTATATAATTGTATAGCGTTTATTATTGATATTATTATATTAGGACAGTGGGCAGCAAAACAAATTTTTTTAATACGACATATATTATGGGATATTTACCGTATATTATATATTTTATACATATACCTACTTAACGTGTGCGACTCGAAAGAATTAGTGTAAATGAATAAAAGTATATATTTCGAATTTTATGTTTATTCCCGCAATATGTTTAATATAATACGTACCGATATATTATATTATTATCATATATATACGGAGTTTATAATATGACTTTTTTTTTATACATATATTTTACAACCTCACATATATATAATAATATAATATAATCTTTAAAACGATTACGTACCCATAATGGATACATCGGACGGATATTATAATATTATGTACCTACCTGTGTACATGCGTGTATCTCACGACCCAGTGTATGCGGATCTTAGAAACGGAACATATTCAGTAAGAATTCGCACGATTGGCCAGTCGGGGGGAGACCTCAACGCTCGTAAACGTTGTGAATGATTTTTCGCGCCACCCGAAAGAATGTTGCGGAGGTCGTGTCCAATGCGTATAATATCATTATACACAGATACCTATATATATAAGTCTTCTCCGTTAAAATATAATTTTATTGCTCGCCGGTCTTGTCGTATAAGCACCAAACAGCACTAAATTAAAATACATATATACATATTATCGTATCATATTGTGAAACAGGTATTAATAAAACTATTTAAAATAATGTGTGCACTCGTCCTGTATATATGTATGTGTGTATGCGTAGAATTCACCCATATAATAATAATATATACACGCAGGGTGATTCACCGAGCATACCTATATTATTATACTCGCCCGCCTAACCCCATTTTTTCCTTTGATAATAATTCCGATTTTTGGATTTTTCAAGTACCTATACCTACCCGTCAGTACACTAGTGAAAACCATATTTACAAATACATATATTTTTTTAGGGCCGTTTATGCTAATATCTGTCCTGTGGTGAGTACAAACCACTTTTTTCAAATAAGAACCACCTTTTTTACTGTAAATATTGCTAAGCAGATGTTTTAAATTTTTTTTTTTTTGATTTATGTAATTAAAATTTGAAATTGAAACGAGTTGTTTTTGAGTTATTTAATATCCTAAGGTACCTACTACTGAGAATAATCTTTTTTTTCATAAAATATAATATTATGTAATATTTAATCTACTATACTAATTATGCATAATTGAACCGACTACAATCTTTACAGTATACCATAAGATACTATTATCTTATAATATTAATTAATATAATTTACAAATCATCGTGGCTCCATATTATGGACTTCCATATTTATAGTACCTACTTGAAGATTAATAAACTCAAAAACTACTCGTTCAAATTTCGATTGTTTTATTCAAGCAAAAACTGAAAAAAAATTGTTTTCTTAACAATTGTCATAATTTGTATTGAACGGACGTGCAATTAAGTTGCAGCACATGCAAATTTAAGTGCATTTAAAATATGATCTTTGAGTACACTTAAAAATATCCAGAGGTCAGAATTTGAATAAAAGGGGGAGAAATCGGTCGGTGAATCACCCTGTATTATACTCATATATTATATTGTGCGTGAGTGTTTACGTGAATTATGTAAGTAAAAGTAATACACGAAGAGGATTTAGAACAGTCGTTCGTGCCAACATTGCCGTTTTAACGACTGCACCTTTGAGAACTGCTGCGGATTGATAAGGATGCGAGGAAATAATTAGAGATTAGATACGTACATAATATTATGCTTTTCCCCATCAAATTGCCCGGCGTCTTGGATGTGTTTCAACACCGGTGCGTGGGGGTTTTTGAACTGGGCGAGTCAATTAAACGAATGAAAAAAAAATACAGGTTCATCTTGAAAGAATTCTTGACCTCTGTCTATAAAAATATAGGTGTATTTAAAATAAAAATAAAAAAAACATATGCATTAGAACACAACGTATACATTTATTATAATCTTCTTGTACCTACCTATATGTATGTAATATAATATGTATAGCATATACGATTTTATTAAGAAATAAAGCGTGTCGGAAATAATATGGTAAATTCTAAAACCAAGTAAATTATATTATTGTAATATTAAATGATATTATTATATTGTGTTGTATGTCTGCGCGTCGTCGAGCCGCCGTCGAGTTACCATTTGGTAGTTTCGACGTTGTAATACATAATATTTACATTTATATATTATTATTATTATTATATTATATTATCAATAGACGTCTCGTGAAAAATACGATGCGATGCATATTATTATGCAGCTTCGGCAGGTAGCCAATCAAATGGCGTCATTATGTTTAGCTAGTACCTAACTATATATATTATTAACTATGACGATAAGTAATAAGCCACTATAGTCACTAACCATCATTTTGAGTGAAGTGTTAACACCGCCAACCAAACTATTCGCTTGATGCGATTTGAAAGATCGTTTTGAACAGGACCAAACTACGGCCAGCTCATCTCTTCCGTAAACTAAAAATCTCAAGCAAATCGATCGTATTCATGATATTACCATGGTATAATACAGTGACGGTTCTAACAGGGTGGACAGCTCAAATTGTTTGGTGTTCACCTGTTACAATCGTAGCAAGTCTGGTTTCATTGCGCATATATTATGTTGGGTACGCTGCATTTTTCGATTTACTTTGTTAAAGTTCGTTTACGCACTGTCGGCATAGGTGCAAAACATGATCGGAGACTTGAGGCTGCACAGCTAGGTCCCCCAAGTATTTCCTAAACTATTTATACTATTTTATTTTAAAGCTGCTACGAATTATGTAAACTTGGTATTTTTAATATGTTTGTATTAAGGGGACGCC